ACAGGTGAGAAATCCCACTTTGCAAATATGAGAGATAATGTAAGTGCAGTTTGTTACCCACTGATCATAAAGAAAGCTTGATCAGAAGTGTCAATTTCCCTAAAACTGATATGCTAGTTTCAAACAAAATTCAATATCACAGCTGGAGTGAAGAAGTAGAAATACAAAGCAAAAGCATTAGGACATATATATTAATAGTCATACCTCAGATTCAAGGCTCCTGCAGACAGATTCGAGGCAAATCTCAAAAGCTCTGAACTCAAATGGTAATGGCTTTGAGTTGCCCCTATTTGACCATTCAGTTGGTGATTTATGACTCCTATCACTTGCCTCTGGTGGCATATTAGAGAGTGATTGCTCCATAGCTTTATTGCTTACCATATTGGCCTTCACACAGCAACACAATCAATCACACACCTCTTTTTAAATTATATCAATCATTAGGTGGTGTCGTGATGCTATTTTTTATTTTTTTTTTCTGATTAAAGTAACAATAAACTGGATATAATGTTCTCTACTTAGCATTATTTACGTTGTGTTTGGTTGGGGGATTTGAGGAGGGATTTGGAAAGAGAAAGGGAAAAGTTAGGTGAAATGTGAATAAAATATACTTACATTTCACCTAGTTTCACGAACCTTTTCCCTTTCTATTTTCAAATCCCTCTACAAATCCCTCAACCAAACACAGAATTAAGAAAAAAATAATTTCGCCAACAATTTATGGTTCTAACTATTATCTGTCCACTTATGTTTACCATAATAAGCAAAAACGAAATGGCCATTACCCAGAGCTGGTCTCCATTAAGCAAGGATTCCAGATTGAGCAGATCGGTATGGATCTATCCTTATTTACGCAAAGCTGTAGTTCATTGCACTAAAACCAGCTTTCTCACAGATATAAGCTCAGAATTTTAACAATTTCACCAAGTAGTGGTTCCTAATTATATTTACAAAAACAGGATGTCTTAATTTTTAATTCTGTAAAAAAGTGTTAAAAGTTTTTCCTCAGCTTGCTCATTTTTTTCATGTTGTGTTATTGACTCAAAATTCCAAAAACAAAATAATACAAATTTCACCCAACATATTCACAGATCAACCCACTAAAATAAATCAGAAGAAGAACGATCACACAAATCAAATCAGAATCAAGTTAACTTCATGAAATAAATGAAGAAAAGTACTTACACCAAAATCAGAGAGCTTGAATTCGAGATCACAAACAAATGAACCCATAAAAGGGTCTTTAGGGTTTGGTACCAGAACTTCATTCGCAGTTATAATCGCTTTAATATGTTCCAAATTCACAACAATAGCCCTCTCTCTTCGGAGAATTGCAGAGGGGTTCGAGAGCTCTGATTCAACAACCCTCAAATCATTAGCCTGAACTCCACTCCTCAGCATGATCGCTTGCTTCCCAAGCTCTTCAATTCGAGAGTTCCCCAATTTTGAGACGACGAACCAGGTCCTCACTCCGGAGCCCTTCCTCTTCGCCTGAAGCTGATAGGGAAGGGGAAGAGAGGTTCGATTGAGCTCGATCTGATCCGCCATTTTTTAGACAAATTCGAGCTAGGGTTTTGATGGTGAGATAGAAAAGGGTTTGATAGTCCATCAATAGAAATAGGGATGGGCTCAAATGGTAATCGTAACTGATACAGGTGAGACTTGGATACATATACATTACATGAATAGTCAACGAATTTTTAAAAATCATCCGGGGCGGGAATGATGGTTAGTTGGGGTAGTTTTAACTTGCCCTAATGGTTTCCCATTTTTTATTTTTAAATAAATTTTTTTTTTCTTTTATTTGTTTTAATTAGAATCAGCCGCATCTAGAATTTTTACAACTATTTGAGAAGAGAAATTTTAATACACACACCCTTTTTAGGAGTGTAATATATGCATCGCTAATTATGTCATATTTTTCTTTAATTATTACTATTTTTTTTTCTTCAATTATGATATTTTTAGTTATGACTCATAAGTTGTTTAGTTAAGCCGCATGTTATGTTTAGTTATGATATTTTTTTTTAGTTATGATTCAGAAAATATAAAATTATGTCTTTTTTTTTTTTTAAGTTATAAGATGTATATATGGTACACATTATTTAGTATTTTCCATTCGAGAAACATAGAGAAGTGTCAAAAGTGAGAGATTCATATGAGTGGAGTTTACATGTGGAATCTATTTATTCGAGAAGAGAAATTTTAATATACACACCCTTTTTAGGAGTGTAGTATATGTATTCCTAATTATGTCATATTTTTCTTTAATTATTACTATTTTTTTTTTCAATTATAATATTATTTTAGTTATGACTCATAACTTGTTTAGTTAAGCCGCATGTTATGTTTAGTTATGATATTTTTTTTAAGTTATGATTCAGAAAATATAAAATTACGTTTTTTTTTTTTTTATGTAAAGTTATAAGGTGTATATATGATACACATCATTTAGTATTTCCCATTTGAGAAACACAGAGAAGTGTCAAAAGTGAGAGATTCATATGAGTGGAGTTTGCATGTGGAATCTATTTATCTTGTGAAAATTTTTTGTGTACTTGAATTTTTTTTAAATTTTATTCAGTGAAAGTGAAACTTATATAAAAATATAGAGGAGATTTTTTGTAATTAAAAGTTATAATACAAATATTTGTTGATAACATACAAATTTTGATTTATAAATGACCAACGAATTCGATGTTTAAAATGATGCATAATAGTTTTATTTTTATTTAATTTTTAGATGGGAATGCATAATTGCTCTATTGAAATGCTATTTAAAAAAAAAATTCTTACTGTATATATTGGTGTTCTGAAAATTTGGTAAAAAGTTAGGCCTTGTTTGGGGTGTTTTAAAAAAGTCAAAAAGTCACTATCTTATTTAAGTCACATCATGTTATTTAAGTCACATCACTTCTCTAACACATCACTTCAAACCCAACCCATATCCAACTCATATTTCATAAAAATTTAAAAAGTATACTTATTTAGAACATCCGAAACAACCCCTAACTTTTTTGACTTTCTCGTGACATTTTAACTTTTTTATGTTAAAATAAATAAATAAAGAGATAATGTGACCTAAAAAATCAAAAAGTCAAAAGACTAAGGCTCCGTTTGGTGGAGTTTTCAAAATCTAGTTCCACACTTACTTTTGATATTCTCAAATCATAATTACAAAACTCTACCAAACGGAGCCTAACTTTTTACTATGTTGTCAAAATGCCCATAATCAAGTAATGATTTATTTTCTTATCATTCATGGGGTTACAAAATCAATTCTTTACGATCTTCGTAGTATCCGCCCAAAAACAAAAACAAAAAAATCAATCTTCATAGCAAAAAAAAGTTCTATCTATTATATGACATAAATAAGTTAAGACTTTTGTCAACTCATGAGTACATTATACTAGGTATGTTATTTTTATAATATAAACGAAAACTGAATGAAATATTATAATAAAAACGGTATAATGTTTTTTTATTATTTGAAAGGTAATATTTCAATATTTTGTATCAAAGTGTTATTTTATAGCGAGATTCGGTGGGTGAATGAGGACATACAATGCATCCATAAGGTAGTTCAATAAATAAATAAATATAATAATTACTTCCACCCTTGATATAAACCAAATCTTTTAGGATTTTTTATTTTTATTTTTTATTTTTGTTCATAAGCATTTGTTCAATTAATAGCCTTTTTAGTTTGGGCTTTTGGGTCTTTTACAAAGTGTCAAAACTAAACGCTAGGAAGATAAATAAAAAGAAAAAAAAAATTACAATTCAGTGTAAGTTTTAAAAATAAATTGTAAATCAGTGATAAAGTTTATCAACTTTAATAAGCAAAAACAAATTGCAATATCATGAAAATGTTTATGACTCCAATTATTAAAATTGATAAATTTTATCATTGATTTACAATTTATTTTGAAAACTTAGACGGAATTACAATTTTCCTATAAAAAAAAAAAAAAGGTAGTAAAAAGCATAACCAAAAAAAATCCAAACAATTGTAATTATTATGTTGCATTTTGTTCATTAAAATGAAAATGAAAATAAAATAAAATGAAATATTTCTTTCTTAACCTTTGTGAAAAACAATACATAAAAAAATAAATATTTAATAGGATGATAATGTCATTCGTTATTAAAAAAAAAATTTATTGATTTTTTGTTAAGGAGTATGCTAATGACAAGAATAAAAAAGCATTTGGGGTGAGAGAGGCTCGAACTCTCGACCTCAGGATAACTCAGAATAGCTATGAGACCTACGCGCTAGCCAACTGCGCCACCACCCCGAGTGGTAAACTTATTATGTATTTTATTTAAAATATAATTCATGTGCCGTGTATCCATATAGATGTGAAGGCACATTTTATTGTAAGCAATTTTATAATTTATTTTAGATTAGTTTTATAACATATGGTCATTTTAACTTAAAATCACTAGCAAAGCTTTTATGCTACCAAGATATAGCTAAATGATTACTATCATCATGAACTATGTCTCAACAATCACATAACTAAATTTTGTTTTTGTACACAAATGAAAAAGAAAAAATAAAGAATTGTGAGTTCACTAAACGGTAAGACTTTGTCATTAATATTTAGACGACACCAATTTAGTCATGAAAACAACCACTTCAGAAATAAGAGTAAAACTACTCCAGACCCTACTTTAGAAAATAATCATGATAAGCAATATGTCCATCCATCCAGACCCTACTTTAGTAAAATTCTTTTGTACTGAGTATTTTTTTATTTTGTATAAAAGCAAGTGAAAATCAGTTCTAAAAATACTAAAGAATTTCCTGAAGAAGATGTTGGCATTGTTGGCTGTAGGTAGGTCATATTTAAAATTTGAAAATATTGGCTGACACCTTTGCAGATTGGTTTATTTACTACACTTCCAGTTTTCAAGAGGCCAATTTTTATTTCAATTGCTTGCCTCCGATATCAACAAACAGAGGATGTCACAATCTGGTACACAAACTACACCAGTAAGCATTAAACACAATACTTTCTATATACATCATCAAAGGAAAGGTGTTCTGTACACATTCTTGAAAGGAAAAAAAAAAAATCATTCTTTTTTGCATGCTGAACCAATGTTTTGTGAATGGGTTAACAGCCTTTGCGGTATACCTGTCAGACATTTAAGTATTCTCATTATAAGGAACGGAGAAAATTTTATTTGGTGCTCGTGAGCATTGCCCCAATGTTTCCAAAAGCCACCTGATCATGTGGACTCCCCACATTTAGGGGAGGACCCCATGTGATTGTGTGTCTCTTAGAGGCGTTGGGGCATGTCCCAGGACTACCAAATAACTTCTCAGAAAGTATGCATGTACTCAGTTAAGGAGATTCCTCGACAGGGACATTTGAGTAAGTACAAGTGTAACTCTCCACCTTCACTTCATTCCCTCTAACTTTGGTCCAGGAAATTTTCCAAGTCTCGAGCAAACTTTGCCTGCATCAAGAAGAAACAATAATGCACATGAGAGAGAGAGAGAGAGGGTGGTGCAAATGCATCGCACCAGTGAGGTTCAATCCCAACTTGGATTTGGATTCCACCTCATGCTGTGCATTCATAACCAAAGTCTATGCATCAAATTGAATATACAAAGAAAGGATCCAATTCCCTTCCTGATTTTCATACAAGAGAGTTTTTGCAGGGATGCGTGCCCTAAGAGGGTGTAGGGGTACTGCTTCTCAAAGAGGACGGAGGCATAATAAAAATCTCCCACTATCAGAATTCCCAATATTGGGATCTTTCTTTAAAAGAGAGTGTCAGTCTGACGCCCTCACTCTCAATTTTAAAATCAATGAAAGGTGATCTTTATAGAGGATCCACAGAAACTTGATATGTTTTAAGAACATATAATTGAATCAAAAATAGTTTTCAAACAAGATGATCTTTAAGTAGTTTAATGTCCCTAATTATTGTGCCCAAAAATATTAGAGAATAAACATAATTATCCTATTAAAAATCCCTTCAAAACCAAGTGTCATAGAAGGAAGTCAAACAAAGTTGAAGAATAAAAAAAAGAATACCTCTCTGTTTCAATAGTCCTCTTTGCAAGCATAAGTGTCAAGAAGACTGGAACCATTGCAGCACACAAATGCTTAAGAGTGTGCCCACTGACAATATGATGTGTCCATTTATAAATTGGTTTATCTGCAGCTTCTTCAACCTTAGCTAAAAGATAAAATCCTGCATGTTATGCAATTAAATGTTACTCAGAATGGCACAAAAAACTAACTGATTTAGTAAACAGAAGAGCCCACATGATGAAATATACAAACCTGCAGCCCAAAGCCAGTATGTGGAATGTGTGTACATTGGAGGCAACAAGATAGCCATTATCGGAATTACAATGCAAGGAACAAACTGAACCAGTGCATATGGGCGGAGGTCATCAAAAAACCTGCAGGTTAATGCACAAGTCAACATACAATAAATGTTTACTTGGAATTGTAGGGTCATGCTCATGCAAATATCTTGGCAAAATTAACTTTAGATGTGAATCATTTGAACCTTGGGAGAAGTTCAAACACCAAAACATTTGTATTTATTGAAGACTCAAAAGGCATTACAACAAAATGTTATATAATGTTAGAATATAATATGTAAAATGTTGCTTTAATAATTAGGTTAGTATAATAATTAGTATGCTTTAATAATGTACCTTTAATAATGTTGTTTGGTTTGTGCTTCTACTTTCGGTTTGTAATTGTTCTCCCTCTCCTCTATAAAGGAGAGAGCTCAACACACCATTTATAGACAACAATCAATAATAATATCAATAGATACATTTATTCTCTCTGTATTTCTTTCTTTATACATTGAATTTTTACATGGTATCAGAGCAAGGTTAACAACCTAGTCATTCTGCTTCACCGGCGGGCGGCAGTCTCGCCTTGGCCGCCCGCCGGACCTCAACCTATTCCGCTTACTTTCTACACATACCTTCCCATCACTGCCTAAATCCTCTCTCTTGAGGCCAATGTGAATTCCTCTTCTTCATAATCTGCACTAACTGTGGCATCTTTTCCTGGGGCAAACTCTCATCATCATGGCTTTAATCTAACCCTCTGGTACCGACCCTCCTTTAGCAGATCCTTCTTTATATCATAGTTGTACTTGTCTGCGAATAACTGCTGATGGCATCTTTGCCACTGGATGTTTCCTGCGGAGGAGACTCGCCGCTGATGATGGCTTTGTCACCGTCGAAGTCTCCAGTTCGTCCTTGTCTATCGAAAGCTCGCTTGACGGAGTCATCTCTCTTCTGAATCTGCAGTTGATGAGCATGGAGATCTCATTTTCAAAACTACAGGCTTCTTGTGATTCAACCTTATTCAGATCTAAGGATTTCAATCCTTCTTTATCGAACTCTGTGGCGGACAAGTTTCTCGGACAATCACACTCCTCCGTAAGGCGATCTGAAGCCGGCGACGACGACACCAAGTTCTCCGGCGAATTCAGGGCGTAGCGGTGGTTGACGTTAAGGAGTTGTTCATGAAGATTGGACGCAAACTTTCTTCTCTTAGACGAACTTGAACTTGAACGTGAACTTGAGGAGCTCATAACCTCCATAGCTCTCATCGTTGTCAGCACTCTACCATGTCCCACCTCCATTACTGCGATTTCTCCAACTCTTCTGTTGCATCGCCATCGATCTCTCTCCTCCTACGGAATCATCGGAGCGAGAGACAGTGAGGCAATTGGTCGTAAGCGCGTGCCGCATCCTCGGTGGAATCGAAGGTCCCGAGCCAAACCCTAGCCTTCTTCCCTGGGTCTCTGATCTCTGCAGCGAACCTGCCCCCGGGTCTCTTTCTCACACCGCGAAACCTAATCTCCTTCGCTGGGCTTCTCGATCCAGATCCGTTGGGTACTCCGGCAGTCGTAGCTGGAGTCGCCGCCGTCGTCGGGGCGGCCTTGGCTGCCGCGGTTGCTCTGACTCTCCGCATGGCCGATGAGAGAGATCTCTCGAGAGATAAAGAAAAACAAGAGAGAGAGAGAGAGCGTGAGGAATTTTGGGAACTGTATACCATTTCTCATTGCTGAAGGCTTGAAGACCTACTTCATCTTGCAAGATCACAGCGTATCCTGACCCATCTGTATGAGGTTTCACGCCCAGAATCAGATTAGGCCTCCCGAACTGTGGATTCTCTCTCTCTCCATGGACCCAACATCATCATCATGTACCCCACTCTCTCCCTCTCTTTCCCATGTGACCCACTCTTCAACCTATACTCTTTCTTTTTTTATTCTTTCCCCACACTCCGGTTTCCCACGTTGCTCAGATTCTCCAACCTATATTTTTTCTTTTTCATTACACTTCTGTTCCCCACTCCAGTTTCTTTTCTTTTTTATATTTATTTTACTCCATCTTTTGAAAAGAAACCGAAACATCAACTGGTTTGCACACCCATCCTCTTACTTTTCCATTAGTGGTAGGACTCGACCAAACAAATTTGAATCTCACATTTCCTTTTTATTTTTATTTTTTTTTATTCCTTTCACATTCACACATTTCTCTTCAATTTTATTCACATACTTCTCTTCAAATTTATTTTCTTTTATTTTCAAAAAAAAAGAAGAAGAAGAAGAAGAAGAAGAAGAAGAAGAAGAAGAAGCAGCAAAAGCAGAAGCACTGCACACCAAACTCATTTTATTCATGTTGGGGCTCACCCCGATCACCATGTTCCACCATACCAAAACAAAAAAAAAAAACAAATAAAAATAAAAATAAAAATAAAAAAACACAAACAAAACCCAAACAACCACATCCACAGGCGGGATTTTTCTTCTCTACTCTGCCGCCGGTCTTTTCTTCTTGCCTCCGTCCTGGACGGCCCTTGACGGTGTTGCCTCCGTGTTTCCCACTCCACTGGGCACGATCACTCCACCCTGCTCCTCCACTACAGCATATGGCGGCCCTCCAAATCGGAACATAACGGTGGCCTTCCGCTTCAGTTCCTTATTTTCCGCCTTTAGCACACTTATCTCTGCTCGCGCATCCTTATACATGCGTTGGAGCAGAGCCAGTTGGGCATTTAAATGCTGCACCTCATTTGTCCTACTCTCCCTCCCTTCAGGAAAAGAAAACGGAGAAAACAGGACAAGTTTGTGACTGCAGTCATGGTTTCCACACATGACTTCAATGTATACTGATTCGCCTCAATATCTGATTGCGCTGCCATTCTTTGCTCCACAGACCGCATAGGAAAGGTCAACGGAGCAAACTCAGGGGCGCTTGGTTGAGGTTCACGGGCAACCGCACCAGTTATCTCTCTTGTGGACTCGTTGAGGTCGGGAAAGAGAGTAAGCAGACCACGGGAAGAAGAGGCCATGTTCTGGGTAGCTGAACGGGAAGAAGAGGCCATGTTTTTGGGTTGCTAAGTGTTTCAGAGAAGCAGCGATTACCGATTGGTACTGTCAGACAGGGTTGGTTACAGAGTGTTTCAAGATTTGCAGCTCTTAGAGACAAGCTCTCCGAGAGTTCAGAGGTTTCAGACTGGTTTGCACAGCCTCCGCCTCACCCTTGGTTTAAATAGCCAGGGCCGATCCGCGCATCGCACGCCACTTGCCGACAACCGACAAAACGGGCGCGCAAGCCAAGGTAGTCACGCCGCCTCGCCATCATGTCCGGCACACCTTTTGATGGCACGCCTTTTTATAGATTGGGTACGCCTTTTGATGGCACGCCTTTTGAAAAATTGGGCACACCTTTTGAGGGTGCGACTTTTTGGGGGTCCGACAAGACTCTGTAAACTGTCCCGACATTGATTCCGGTTAGCTCCTTCATGGGTCCGACAAGACTCAGTAAACTGTTCCGACATTGATTCCGATTAGCTCCTTCATGGGTCCGACAAGACTCTGTAAACTGTCCCGACATTGATTCCGGTTAGTTTCTACAAGGGTCCAGCAAGACTCCGTAAACTGTCATAACAACTGTCACAACCCCTTTTGAGGGTGCGACTTTTTAGGGGTCCGACAAGACTCTGTAAACTGTCCCGACATTGATTCCGGTTAGCTTCTACAACGGTCCGACATGACCCCATAAACTGTCTTCTACATCGGTTTGCCATAACCATACAGTCTTCTACAACGGTCTAACACGACCATACAGTGTCTCCTATCCATTTTTATTTTCTTTTATTTTTCTGTTTTGTTACTCTCTCCAAACTCAAGTTGATTGGTTCCTATCATCCTTGAGTTTGAGGGGGGCTGTTAGAATATAATATGTAAAATGTTGCTTTAATAATTAGGTTAGTATAATAATTAGTATGCTTTAATAATGTACCTTTAATAATGTTGTTTGGTTTGTGCTTCTACTTTCGGTTTGTAATTGTTCTCCCTCTCCTCTATAAAGGAGAGAGCTCAACACACCATTTATAGACAACAATCAATAATAATATCAATAGATACATTTATTCTCTCTGTATTTCTTTCTTTATATATTGAATTTTTACATATAATCCAAAGGCACTGTCGCATTCTGGCATTTTCTCCCATACACAAGTATGAACTTCATCACCTAAAATAGAAAAACAAAATACTTTATAATTGAGGAAAGGTACACATGCTTACCTCCAATACAATATGCTTATAACACCTGCCAATAGTAGGGGAAGAATGGACACCGTTCCCTTTTGCTCATCGATTCTTTCAATTATAAAGATTGCCATGATTGACGTGAATGCAATAGTCATCTATATAATTATTGATCAAATGTCAAAACAGAAAAATATTGAGGACATCTAAAATAGAAGCTGAGGCAAGACGAAGCTCACTGGCAAACGATCCCACACAAGAGTAGCATCATTTGGCTTGAGATGATAATAAGAGGATCCAATACCAACAGCAGCCACACCAATGAAAAAACACGTCCAACCCCAAACCTCACCTTGCAACCTAAACATATATTTAGATGTTATTGTAATCAGTAAGTATAATTTATAAAGGATCTTCTCACTCCAATAGTCCCGTATAATAAGGATCATGTAGAACATAATACCTCAGTCTAAAATAGTTCCCATGAAAGCAAAGTATAAGCCCTACAATACCAATTACAAGGAATGGGAAATTTGAAACCACATTCAGTGTATTTGGAATACCTGAACAGTTAAACAAACATGTCAGCTATAACAAAACACATTAGAGGGAGGAGCATCAAATATTGTTCAAAAGCTGAAAGACAAGTACAGTTTGCCAACATTACAATTTCTGGATAGCCTATAGATTGAAATTTTGAAATCGTAATGTCAGTCAACTGCAAGCATGAGTCCAAATAAAAATACAACTGAATGATTAAAAAAAATAACAACTAACAAAAATGGACAATATTAAAATCATTTTGATTTTTAAAAATACCAAATCAGGAAAAATGGATATAATTTGGATGTCAAGTATCAATATTTTCAGCCACTTATTCCAAAACACTGAGCCCCAAATCAGGACACACCATATGAGACATTACACAAAAAATAAAAGGTATTGCTGATTTGCATCACAATATAAATGTAACAAAAACCTCATACCAAATAAATGAAATGAACTTCACCATAATCATTTTTAAGTTTATAAAAAATAAGCTAAAAAACTAACAAATTCCAATTTTCATCTCCCAATCAGGTCTTTTCCGTTACTACGCTGTCAATGACTATATGCTCAGTTAAATTAAATAATTTTTTACTACAGCATCTCAATATCAGTTTAGGTCTTTCTCTTCCCCCCTAAAATTCCTATTTACTGCGATCATATCACTATCATTACCATTAATATTTCCATTTAGGAGGCTCATATTACTAGTCCTTTGCATCTACAATCCTTCATTGAAGCCTTGTTTGGTACAGCTTATGAAGCTGCTTATAAGATGCAGAAATTGCTTAAATAAGTTGAAAAAAACTGATTGTTGAAAAGCAGGGAAGGTGTTGTTTTAGCTTGTGCTTTTTAATTATCAACTACACCAAACAGACTAATTATCAAAACCCAATTCTCTCACAACTTCATACTCAATTTGTGCCACTCTTAGCATTTCACAAACACATTCAATTCTAATTATCTTGCCTAATCTCATGGAGTAAAGTTATAAAGGAAAAACACCCTTGTTCAATATCAAACCCTAATTGTGTATAAACTTCATGAAATTGAGAATCAAACACAACAATTAACAGAAAAATGCAGAGATTGTAAATAAATACCGAAGAATTCGCGTTTGTCGGCGAAATTGTGATATTCTTGGGACTGAGGGATCGCCGGTGTGACGATCATGAGTACTACAAAGCACAGAACCGCCACACCCCATGCGTACAGAGTCCGCTTACTCATCTCAAATAGCTAATTCTATACACACCTCTGCGTATATGTATATGTATATGTTAATTGAGAGAGAGAGAGAGAGAGATGGGGGGAGGGGGATCTAATGGAAAGTCTGTAGTCTGGTCTGGAAACGATAGTCAAAACTGAAAGAGAGAATTTATTGGGAATGGTAATTTCATAAACTTATTACGAATGCATGGAAATTTTTTCGATAAATTATAAATAATTTAAAATTTTTATTATGATAAATTTTATAAATATTAATATTAATAATTAAAATTTTAAGTTTTTTCATGAATTTGTAATTTTAAGTTTTTTAAAATTACCAGTGTTTTGTATTTTTTTCCAATTATAGAATAAAGGAAAAATTGCCTATAAGTGAGTAATTTTACAGAAAATTATTATAGCATTATGAAAAGTTTATGATTTTAATTATTAATGTGTATAAAGTTTATCATTTATTTGTAATTTTTTTTAAACTTACACTAGATTGAAATTTTCTTAAAAATAAACTCAAAATTTTATCCGTATAATAAATAATGTTTTTATTTTAAAATTTTTATTTTTATTTTTTATTTATTTTCATGTTCGAAAATGGATAGAAGTAGCACCGATGGAAGATAAGTTGAAAATGAATCGATTGAGATGGTTTTGTCACATTCAACGGACACCAATAGAGATGCGATGCTGTAACGGTAAATGAGAGTGTTAGGAGACGAGGTACGCCTAGATTAACGTTGGCTAGCATTGCAAACAGAGATATGGATTTACTTAATCTGACTAACGATATGGCCTTTGATAGGACTGCATGGAGAATAATGATTCATGTTGCCGACCACATCTGATAAGACTTAAGGCTTGGTTTGATTTGGTTTATTTTTTATTTGTTTTCAATCTAAAGAATCAAGCTATTTCTGTCAATTAAAATGAGAAAAAAATGATATTTTAATAATTAAACTAAAAAATATATATTTTAGACATTTTATGTACACATATATTAAGTTCAATAATTCAAATACTATTTCTCCTTCAATTTTACTTGATGAAAATTGATTAATGATTTAGATTAAAAATAAATAAATAAATCATAGTTTAAATTAATAAAATAAAAAAATTCAATGTCTATTTTGTTATAAAGGTCAAGTCTTGAGATTTTTTTTTTATTTTTTGTAATTCAGGCATTTGTTTGGAATGACCTAAATAAGTGTACTTTTTATCTTTTTACGAAAAGATGTGCAAAAAAGTAGAGAGGTGATGTGATGAAAAAAAAATAAAAAGATAAAAAAATAGATTATTTGGGACTTCCCAAACTTGGTCTGAGTAGTTGTGCACTTGCTGAATAATAGGAGATGAAAGTTTTATTTCTACACACTAAATTATTTCAATCCACACATTTAATGAATCACTTCTATATTACATTTTTATTTTAAAATAAAAGTATTAAAATACATTTATCTTCTTCATTCAAAAACTTTAATTTTCAAATCCTAATTTCTCATCCAAAATCCAACAACTGTCGTCGTCAACTTCTTCCCCGACCACCCCAATCACTCCCCCACATTTAGCAAATCTTTCCCACCTTTACTACTCATTACCATAGCAATGTCCACCCCTTGTATTACCGTCATCACAAAGATGCTGCCCACTGACTACCCAATTAGGGGTGCAACTCGGGCGGGTTCGGTCGGGTTGGGGGTCTGCCCAAGCCCGACCCGAATTGTATTTGGCACTGCCCAAGCCCGCCCAAGCCCGACCATGAACCCGAGCATTGTTGCGCAAGCCCGGCCCAAGCTTTGTATTTTGAACTCAGGTTGCCCGAATTGCCCGAATTGCCCGAGTCCAGAAACCTATAGGTAGATCTAAGGGTAGACATAAAAGATGCTAATCTAATGGTAGAAAACTAACAAAAAAAAAATAAAAAATAAAAATTAAGACTAACTCTTTTACTTAATATATTTTTCTAAAATTTACAAAAATTAATTTTAATTTTATATGTATATATATATATATTACAATTAATTTAAATTTATGATTTATTATAATTTACAAAAAATTGCACATTTCCCCCAACTTCACAACAATTAATATATTTTTTTAATTAAAAAAAAAAAATGCAGACACCGCCTCGAACGCTTCTCCCTATCGTTTCTCTCTACTCCTCGTCTCCAACTTATATCAGAGAAAAACCATATACTTAGAGAGAAAATATGGTTTGAGTCACTGGAGTTGTGGTTTATTCAATCCTTAATGCCGGACAGTGATGACCGGAGGCAAGCCGAGGAGAGGAGTAGATGAAGCGTTTGGCGAAGCTATCCCCAGGTGTGTGCACACGCCTTCTAGTATACTATTATATACGCTTTAATTTTGCTGTTTCAATTTTGTTTATATCCAATTGTTTCAATTAACTGTCATAATTATAGGTCCAATTATAAATTGCATAGCGTGTGTGCTCTAGTATGTGTTAATTAATAAATAATAATAATAATAATAATAATAATAATAATAATCTTTTTTATGTTTATTAGGACATCTCCATTCATTGACTCTAATTTATATCAGATTTGAATTTGAGTAAAAATCACTCAAAACAACCTTCACTTTTTACCCAAACCCATATCAAATTGAATTTTAATCAAATTTTTACCCAAATCAAGGATACTCAATTGTTTACTCAAAATTTCAAGATTAGTTTGTGGGTCTCAAATTTTACATTTTGCCATTAGTCAATGAGTTTGTCGATTGAAGTAGTGTTTGTTTCATTTCAAATAAAGCGTTTACTCAATTTTTTACTTAAATTTGAGTAAAATTTTGCATGTATACTTACAACCTTCATTAATTTTGTGACCATTTAAGCTTGTGACCTATCTTTTTGATCAGAGGTTGAATTGATCATCAGAAGAAGAATTAGGCCAAAATTAGGATACATTCTGGGAAAATAAAACTTCTATCGAAGTGAAGCAGATGAAAGGCTTTCATAAAATTTCTCGTAGAATCGAGAATGAAGTTTTCATTATTACCTATTAGCAACAATAGTGAAGGTTCTTGATGACCTCATGATTGTAGGGTAGTAGATATAAGTGTCAATTAATGTATAGCTAAATTTAGGAATCGCTAATACGTTCACATGCATATGTATCACAAACGTACATAACTTTCGTGACAACCTCTCTTTATAGAAAACTAGTGGCAAGGCACGCACAACTTGAAAAAAGTAATAGATAGAACTTCTTGGATGTCATGCCTACTCTCTCTCTCTCTATATATGTATATATATATATATATATATTTATATGTTTGGAGTCTGTGTTGAAGTATGTTATGACTTGTGTTATAAAAGTGGTTTAAGTCCATATAAGAGTTTCTTAACCGTGAGCGTGTTTGGGAATGCTGATTTCATAACCACAAACTATTAAATCTTAAATTAGTCCACTCTGCTGACATATTTTATATAGAACTAGCTCTTCATAAAGTGATAGATACTGTTAGTTTTTAATTGCACTGGTTTTGATCTGGTCATGCCTTGTTTTGTCATGCCTTGTTTTTTCTTTGTAGCTATGCAAAGGAATATGCTGTTAACATTATCAGTTATCTAAAACAGAAAAGCCAATTGTAAAAAATAAATATACATTGTCATTTTGTACACCTTGCAGTTAATTTGCTGTTTCATTTTCATGCCCATTTTTGTTGGGGTTGTTTGATAACCCCTTATGAAGTGCTTAAATCTGATTTCTTTATTTTTATTTTTATTTTGTGTGTGGATCTTTACTATACCTCTTAAAAATGAAGATCGACTTTGGAAGGATCTAAAGTTTAAGTGAGAGAGACCTAACTTATCACTGATTCTAGACACATTCATGGGAAATTTTACTTTAAGTTCTGAAAGTGCTTGAGAAGTTCATACCACTACTCATTCAGCTTCAAAATTTTGACTCAGTCGATTGAGAATTGAGATTATCAAATAAATCTCAGTTCAATTAGGAATTTTGTTTATCAAGACAATGACCCCTCGTATACTCAAAAACCGATATAACACATTTTAGATTTCCATAATGATTTTAATGGATTGTCTTCATGCATATCACCAAAACAAGCTTCTCTCTTGATGTTTTGTAGTCTTTTAAAAGTAATTTTTTGAAATTGGTAATAGGGTCTTTTTTTCTTAATAAATGAAATGTATTATCATTTCCACTGGGCAAAGTAAAATGAAAGCTAAACTTTACTTTCATTTTCTCTATGTTAATGGGGTTTTGAACTAGTTACTCTTTGTAGGTTTAATTCTGAGTTGTCTTGTCTCACTTAATATTATTGGGTCATTGAAGTTATTTGGTACTTATTCAAGACTAAAATTTTATCGATCTGTTGATTGCAGATAGTTTTGATGGCTGCGCAAGCTGTATTCCAAGGTGAAAATGTAAGTCTGCATCAGCTACTTGCTATCTCCTCGGCATTTTTAATGCTGTTTATGGGTTGTTAGTTGGAAGAAGTTCAATCTCCAACATGTATTTCTTGTCAGCTGGTTTGAGTTCTAAACATTCTGGCCGAGAACTTTATCAACTTGTTTGCTAAACTTGCTTCATGTAATGTCTATAAATTATACATATATGCTAAAATAGTAGCAATATTGATACCATTTGAGGATAATGTTTAGGATTGGTGCCCTTTTTGTTGACGTTGGCTGCTTGTTTGTTGGGATTTGGTTAATCCCCATATGTAACCATCGGTGGACATCTAACTAATATGGTCAAAATCTTTGCTTTTCTCACTCTTGGCAGGAGAATCTTCGGTAAGATCTTGATCCAATAACAATTGAAAATTGCATAGTATGTAGCATTTCAAAAGTGATATCCAATCTCTAGAAAATCTATAGATTCTTTATGTTGTGCAGATGCTGTGATGAATGTTTATATCAAGACTATGACTGAAGATCATGGCAATGAAGTTGTTGCTCAAGCTTGTGTGAGCATAGTTGATGTTATGAAGGATATTTGGATACATAGCGGTTGATCGAGCCATGTAAGTACAAACCTTGGTATTTCATTTCTTCTGTCTGTTGAAATCCATGTTCTAGTGCAAGAAAAAATAAA